CGCATGTGGGACTGGCATGCCAAGCTTCGCGCCAGCCTCACAGGCGTCGCCGCGACCGCAGAGCAGCTTGTCCCTGCGTGGGGCCGCGTCAACCGGCGCACAGGCCTGCTGGAAGCAGCCGAGTTAGATGTCGCCACGACAGATCCCAGCACGGGCCGGCCCGTCTTCGTTGATTGGAGCATCACCTGCGAATGCTCTGAGTACGCCCCTCGCAGGCAAGCACGATCCAACAGCGACGGCGCCGCCGCAGCGGCCACCGCGGTGCGGGAAAAGCGGGACATATACCCCCCGAGTGGGGGAGACCTCGCCCCACTCGTCTTCGAGACATTGGGCCGCCCGTCAGACGAAGCCGCAGAGTTCATCCGGGTTTACGGACAGAACCTCGGCGAGGCAAAGCGGGGCGAGGTGCTCGCCAGAGTGTGGCGGCAGCTGTCCCGCCACCTCCAGCGTGGCAATGCCGAGATGGTGCTCAGCGCCATCGGCCAGTAAGGCCGCGACCACAACCACCACCAGCACAACCGCTACTACCAGCACCACGACGGCGACCCTAAGGACGGCGACCGCCACGACCACCAGCGCCATGACCACGATCAGCGCCAGCACGACGACCACCGCGGCCACCGCCAGCAAGCACCACGACCACGACTGCACGACAGCGCCACGACCACGAGCACTACCATCTCCGACCTGACTGCCAACGCCCCCGTCCGCCCCGCCCCTCCCCTCTCCTCTCCCCGCCCCTGCCGGGCCGCCCCTGCAGCCGCGCGGGCCTTGCGCCTCCCTCCCCCTTCCCCCTCCTTCTCCTCCCAGTAAGCCCCTCGCCGACTGCGGCGGGCGCGAGTGAGCGATCGGATCGACCATTCTGGCCGCCCCAGGGGTCCCGTTCGCGGGTGCCGGTCCCTTCTGGGAACCCCTGGGGCCGTGGCGGGAGGAGGAGGGGGAGGAGGAGGAGGAGGAGGAGGAGGAGGAGGAGGAGGGTGAGCAGAAAGGCCAAAGGCCTCTGGGATGCCCCTCGGGGTCTCTTCGAATGCCTCGAGACCTTCTTGGAAGTCTCTTGGGACGTCTTGGAGGAGCGCTGGGCTGGCGCCCAGTGCTGCGGGCCAAAAGCAAGAACGCCCGCGCTCGTTGCGTGAGGGACAAGACCCCCGTCGAGACTGGACTGCTGGCGCCGACAGGGATCGAAATGAACATCGGGTAAGCTCAATTCGCTTCCTCAGGATCCTCCAGCGTTGATGTCCGTCGGGATGCAGAAAGGCTCGGGGCAGTGAGAGATATCCCGAAAAGCCAGAGTTCGTTCAAGAGTCGGGGGTGGTGGCCCTCCGCGCCGCCTCCCAGGCGGGCATCGGACGATGCCCACTGACCGTCCCAGCCCGCCCGGAAGCTCTGTTTTGCCAGACCGCGTGCAGCAGAAGTGCGACTGAAGGCGAGTGATCCGTGTCTCGAGACAGCGCAGCTGCATGTCCCCCCTCGACATCCCCTCCACCTCCTTGTGTGCTGGCACCGGTGGCCCCTCGTGTCTACGGCGGCCCCCGGCGAGGGTCGAGCCGAGGGGGAATGGGGCCGGGGCTCGCGGGTTTCAGAATTGCCGAGCTTTCGGCACCGTTCGAGGGGGGGGATTGAGCCAGAGAGTGGCCAGCAGATGCCCGAACCGCTACGAGACAGGCGAGTGCCCCGTTCTCTCCTCCTTCTCCCCGTGGCGCGGGACTCAGGGCTCGGTGGCGATTCGGGCGCTCTCGGAGGCCAGGGGAAGACTGGGGGTCTTGGGGCCTGGCCTGGAACGGAGGGTTTCTCGGGCAGGGTCTCTCGGGCAGGCTGCGGGGGGCGCGCTCCGAGACATATCGCGAAAAGTTGCTGCGCGCCCTCGGCCGTTTACGAACCACGCGGTTCCGCGCCCGTTCCCGGTCTTTCTTCTCCAAGAGACGGTCCCGTGCATGGCGATCGTGCGGTGGGGCCGCGGACAAGAGACGCACGGCGAGGCGATGTGCGGACCATCACAGGACGGCCAGACGCATCCCACAAAGTGCCCGCTGACGGGCAATGCGCGCATACTCAGGGGGTGTCCGTAGGCAAGAACTATTTGATTTTCCTAGCCTCTCGTGTCTTCGGTGGAGGGGTTGGGTCTTTTGCGCATGAAGAGGCGCTGCTACCAGTGGCCTCTCAAGCTGAAGAAATCCCGTCGTATGTACACGAACCAGCGGCATAATTGTCGGCGCCCAATCGGAGCAGACTCTGGTGTTGGGCAACCGCTGCGGCGGCTTGGGGATCTGCGAGCCGTGCGGCATAGAGGTGGCGTACTTCGTGAAACTTACGGAGGTCATGCCTCCCGCGCGCTCGTCGGCCTTGAACCCGTTGGATTTGAGCTAGCCCCGCTGGGGCCGAGCTTCGGTCGGGGCGAACTTCGGCCAGGCCAAGAAGCCGATGATGCCCTCGTGGCGACGGAGTCGAGTGGGCTGGTGGGGGCGAGCACGCTGCGGGTGGTCACGCGCGCCGAGGAGGTGAAGCAGCGCCGCGCGGTGGACGCCCCCATGGAGGTGGAGGGTGCGGGGCCTCCTAGGCCACAGGCGCCGAGGTCGAACCTGTCCAGGCCTCCTCCTCCTCCTCCTCCTCCTCCTCCTCTTCCTTCTCCTCATCCTCCTCCTTCCCCCCCTTCCTCCTCCTCCTCCTCCTCCTCCTCCTCCTCCTCCTCCTCCTCCTCCTCCTCCTCCTCCTCCTCCTCCTCCTCCTCCTCCTCCTCCTCCTCCTCCTCCTCCTCCTCCTCCTCCTCCTCCCCTCCTCCCTCCTCCTCCTCCTCCTCCTCCTCCTCCTCCTCCTCCTCCGCTCCTCCTCCTCCTCCTCCTCCTCCTCCTCCTCCAAGGACACGCAGGAGTTGATGCCGCAGCAAAACCAGCCCATTCTGCAGCCTGTCACGGCACGGGGGGCGGCCCTTCAGGGCATGCAGGCGAAGCCGGCCCGAATCGGGGGGGCCAGCGCGCAGCCGACCCTGGAGGACAGCCGCCCGACCACCTCGGGCGGCCTGGTGGCGCCCCAGGCTCTGTCGACTCCAACCCTCGAGACGGGCTGGCAGAATATCGGCGAGTCAGCGAACATTCCTGTGTACGGATCGCGAGTGAGAATTGCGAGTGCTTGTTAGGCGTTCAGCAGGTGTCAGAGGCAGGTGGGCCGGGCTAGACGGGGCTGGCAACCCCGCGAGGCGTTCCTCTTCCAGGGTGGAGCACCTTGTGGGTCCACCCTGGCTAATTCGCTCTCCCCGCCTCCTAGTCCCCGTTGGCTTACGTCACTTTCCACTCTCGCCTTAGCTTCGTCTACTCAGCGCACCTCCTCGCCATCCAAGCCTGGATGGTTATGGCTGCTGCCGGCTGCGACATCCGAGCGGTCTCTGAGAGCTCGGCCGGGCGTAGCCGCGCGCGTCCCATTGCGTGCACTCGACTTTCTACTCCCCGTCGCCGCGCGCGGGGCCGCGACGCCAAAAAGTGTGCGTGTGGCCGCTGCCCCCGCCGCTGCTTGCCGCCCGCTGCCTGCCGCCGCCCGCGCAGCCGTTCCCGCTGATTCCCGTTCGGCGCCGCAGCTGGCTGCTCTCCGCCGTTGACCGCTGCCCGCAGCGGTTCTCCCTTTTTCTTTTGTTCAGCTCCCGGGGCGTCTGTGGATTATCGTGCAGCCCGGCGTCAGTTTGCTTCGCCGTGCCGTGCCTGACAATCGTCCGGACGGCTTCTCTGCCCCGACCGCGTGCACCCGAAGTGTGTGTGTGTGTGTGTGTGTGTGTGTATGCGTGTGCGTGCGTGCTTGTGTGTGTGTGTGTGTGTGTGTGTGTGCGTGTGTGTGTGTGTGTTTGTGTGTGTGTGTGTGGTTGCGTGCGTGCGTGCGTGCGTGCGTGCGTGCGTGCGTGCGTGCGTGCGTGCATGTGTGCGTGTGTGTGTGTGCGTGTGTGTGTGTGTGTGTGTGTGTGTGGAATGGCCGCGGCACCCGATACATCATCCAGCGCCGACTGAATTCACAAGTCCCCGATCTAATGATCCTGGTTCGATCTTGCACCTGCCCTGGCCGCGGCACCCGATGAATCATCCAGAGCCGACTGAATTCACAAGTCCCGGATCTTCAAGGACGCCCTCGAGGGCGCGAAGTTATTCGCGCTTCGCGCTTCGCGGTTCGGCTCTCATTCCTCCTCGTCCTCCTTTTCTCCCCTGGCAGGCGGCCCGAGAGCGCGAGGTTATTCGCACTTCGCGCTTCGCGCAGCGCGAAGCGCGAAGTTGGGAGCCCTTGGATCTTGCACCTGCCCTGGCCGCCGCCATGGCAACGGCAGCTCGTGGACGGGTGTCCCACGGCGGCGTGCAGTTGGCACCGCCTTTCCTTGACATCAGACGCCACCGGACACTAGCGAACATCACAACATTCACGAGTGGAACCCTGGACTTTCTGCGCAATTTATCGAGTTGGGTCTATCCGTGAGGGTCCCTGGCTAGAAAAATGCAGGGTTCTACGCCAGGACATTTTTGTTGCCCCCCCATGATGGCAAGACCAGCGCTCCTCGGACTCGACGGGCGCCCGTGACATCGCTGGCCCGCTTCTGCTTGGTCGAGGCTACGACAGGGATGCATCGTTCCAGAGCGTCCATGACCTCCTCAGAACGTTCTGGCCCGGCCGCGGCGCCCAGTACAACCCCCAGAACGGTCAGATTTCAGAGGTCTCCGACGTATCTCGGTCCGATCTTGCTCCCTCCTCCTCCGCATCCTCCTCTCGTGCGCGGGGGCTTGCCGCCCACCTTGGTGCAGCACCGGGTCAGACGGTGGTTCCGCCACCGGGACTCGGCAACGTCTCCCATGATTAGTCAGTATACATGTCGTCGCTCACGCACGTACCTCCTCCCCTTCTCCTTCGTCTTCTTCTTCTTCCTCCTTCTTCCTTCTTCTTCTTCTTCTTCGTCTCCTCCTCCTCCTCGTCCTCCTCCTCCTCCTCCTCCTCCTCCTCCTCCTTCCCCCCCGCCCCGGGAACCGCCGCACGCGCAGCTCCGACGACGAGGGCGGCTGCGCCGGCCACGCCGCGGCGGAGCAGCGGCCCCGGCGGCGCGGCCGCCCAGAGCGCGCGGCCAGCCCGCAGGCCGGCGGGGGCGGCGCTTCCTTCCAGGGGTGCGGCGGCGGCGGCCCGACCGAGGGCCATCAGCTCCTGCTCCTCCTCATTCCTCCTCCTCCTCATCATCATGTGCATCTTCCTCCTCCACCTCCTCCTCCTCAGCTCCCTCCTCCTCCTCCTCATCTACATATCCATCCTCCTCTTCCTCCTCCTTCCTCCTCCTTCTTCCCATCTCCATCCTCCTCCTCCTCCTCCTCCTCCTCCTCCTCCATCTCATCATCATCATCATCATCATCATCATCATCATCATCATCATCATCATCATCATCATCATCATCATCACCGAGCGCGTTCCGCTGCTCGCGGAGTGCCTACTCGCAACCGTTCGAAAAGCACATGAGCGACGCAGAGCTTTTTGTCGGCGGCGAGGCAGAATGGCTGCGCCAGCTATGGAGCTAAACGGGGGAACCGAAAAGCGAATTGGCCAGCATGCAGGAACAGGAAGATGGCGGACAGGGCGGCCGCGGAGTGGGCAAGGGCGGACAGGGAGGATACAGAAACACGTGGTCGTTTTCACCGGCATCAGCGCGTAAGCTGCCCGCGTAAGGTCGCTATGCCATCTCGCGTAAGACCCGATTCTTTGCACCGCTCACATCTTCGCCTCGATCTAAATGGACCGTGACTCCCCCGCGGCAGATCCAGGCCATTTGCCAATAGCTACTTGGCCATTTGTGGAACGCGCTTGTCGATCTCGATGGCCCCCAGTCGAGGAACAAACCATGACCTTAACATTAGGGAGGGCATGTTCTCCTACATGCGGATTTTGGACGAAACAATCAAAATATCAGACAAATGTTCAAACATCGCAAAGAAATTGTCGAGAACCGTCCCCAGACGTTTTTTTTTTTTTTTTTTTTGTTTTTTTTTTTTTTTTCCTGTCGAGGGACACGCCCGAATTGACCTTACCATAAACCTTCGGAGGTCCGCGCGGATCTCTTGAACCGGCGCTGGCGCCCCGCGCCGCCCCTGGCGCGCTGTACGCGCCAGGGGGCTCAGCGCCGATCCAAGAAATCGACGCGGACCTCTGACAATTCGTGTTTATGTTGTTGTTTGCTCCTCGACTCAAGTCGGGCCTGTTCCTCTACAGGAGGATTATGCAGAAATAGTCAGCAAAATAGTCGGAGGACGACTTATTATTATTATTATTGGTTTTTTATTATTATTATCATTACTACTATTATTATTATTATCATTCTTAGTATTATTAGTTTTCTTATCATTTTTCTTATTTTTATCGTTAGTATCGAAATTATTGCCATTATTATAATTATGCTTATCATTATTACTATCATTATTTTAATGGTTAATATTTTTATTACTAGTATTCTATGATTATTGTTATTGTTATTCTTGTTTTTACTATTATGATAAAAATATGTCAATCTTTTGTTTAAGAAAGCAGATCGTCCAAAGCTCCCTGTAGGAGGACATGCCCGACCTGTTCCTCGACTCAGGACGTGTGTCAGCCCAATGCGTGTTAGCCTCCCCTCAGCTCCGCCGACAGCGCGCCGCCTGGCCCCCGCTACACGGCCTGGGTCGCCTGGAAGGGGCCGCGGTGGGCAAGCACTCGTTGGCCTCGGCACACGTTCCGAGGGTCATCGAGCCTCGGGACCCCTCGCACCCAGGCCCTCACGCCAGTGAGCGACGTGTCCCTTCGGAAGGCCGGGGCCCCGCGTCTAGAAGGGGCTAAGCAGCTACACCTTAGGCGATGCTTAAGAAAACTTACATTTTCGGCCAGGGTCTCGATTATTCTTAATGTTTCAACGTAAATCCCAAGATTTTAATAGAAATTTTGGGTTTTTAGTCAAGTTCTGAGACTATGAATTTCTTAACCCATGATTTCTTAAGCATTTCGCAAGGTGTACACCCACGCGCTCTTCGAGATCGACATGTCTTTCTTGCCCGCCCGAGCGCATGCCGCTCCGACGCGCCTCGGGGCGTATGGCACCTGCCTCCTTCCTCTCTTCCTGCCTGCCTTCCTTTCTGCCCTCCGCACCCAGACCCCCCCCCCGCGTCGTGGCGAAAAAGACGGCGGGATCTCTTCGATGATTCGGGGCCTCTCTCGGGGCCGTCGCCGGGCCGCGCAGGCCAGCGTGCGGCGCTCTCTCCCGTCGGGGGGGGGGGAGGCGGCGACGCCTGCGGCGGCCCGGCCGGGGCACATCTCGGGGGGGGGGCCCTCGGGCGTTGCGTGCAGTCGAAAGCCGATATAGTGAGGACGGGCAGGCTTTCCAAGCGTTGCCTCCTCGGTCCAGCCTCGACCAGTCTCGGCGGCCAGCCCCGCTCGAGAAGCTTCGGCGTGGGCGTCCAGGGGGCCTGCGTCCTCGTCGCGCATCCCTGCCATCGGTTTTGACGGATGGGGAGCGGTGAGCGGTGGGGTGAAGAGCGGTGCGCCTCTCGTGCACCTTCGGGGCCCCAGAGGGGCCCCCGGCGGCCCAATCGGGTGCGCGAAGGGTGCGCGTTCTGGGAAGGCGCGGAGGGAGAGGGCAAAATACTACTACTACTACTACTACTACTGCTACTACTACTACTACTACTACTACTACTACTACTACTACTACTACTAATAATACTAATAATAATATTAATAATAATACTAATAGTAATGATGATAATAATAATAGTAATTACACTAATAATAATGATAGCAACACTGGTCTTAAGGCTGGCCTGTCCCTCTACAGGAGGAGTATCTAATATTCAAATCAATGTTTTTGTTTTTGCGATATATATATATATATATATATATATATATATATAGATATGTGATATTTTTGAATGCTGTTGAAGTATTTTTGGAGTATTTCTTTCATTGTTCGTCCAAAACCTGCCTGTAGGGGGGACATGCCCCGACCTGAGGGTGCACGCTTCTTCGCCCGCTCGCCGCCTTCCCACGGAGCGACGCCCGAGGCCCCCAGACTGCGCGGCGGACGACCTGCGTGCACCGTGCCGCGCTGGCGCCTCCCGAGGCGTCGCGGCGTGGCGACGGCACCAGGCGAGGCAGACGCGCTCGCGTCCTTAGACAAGCGGGACGGCACGAGGAGAGGCAGGCGTGCTCGCGTCCTCAGACTTAAGTCGGGCCTGTTCCTCTACAGGGGGGATATTCAAAAGTATGCAAGAACTAGTCAGGGGACTATTTCTGCAGTGTCTTTGGGTATCCTTTGAGATTTTTTAAAGGTATTTTTCTTTTTCGTCCAAAATCCCCCTGTAGGGGGACAGGCCCGACCTAACCTTAGACAAGCGGGACGGCGTTTTGTCGTCGCTTTCGTCCTCTGGTGGCCCTTGCTGTGACCCGGTACCGTCGAAAAACGACTTGGGGACGAGAAGCCGGTCCGGGGGAGAGGGTCGGGACTTGCGGGGACCGCGTATTGAAAAGCCCGACGTTGCATGTCTGGGACAGGGTCTTGAGGGAAACGGGTCCTGAGGGTTTTCGGGCTCAGGAAAACGATGTAGGATGACGAACTGGTCATGGGGGAAGGCCCGGTGGTCCCTCAGCACCTGTTTACTTTCAGACCCGGGGGTCCCCCAGCACGTGTTTCCTTCATGCCTGCTGGTGACGACACCGTGCCGTGAGTAGGTAGGGATTCGGAGTGATGTCTCGGGCGGCTGGGGCCTCCAGGGTCCCCAAACTATGCGGTTAGGTCTTGACGGTTTCCGAGGTCACCGCGCGGTCTGTCACCGCATTGTTCCCGACCTTGGGTTCACTATGAAGTGCCGCGGTCGGCGTTTCGCGGGACTGCGCAGGGTTCGGCGCGCCAAGCCCTAGTGTTCCCCGCCTCTCCCCCCCCGAACAGCGTCGGGTTATGCCCGCGCACATGTTTTCCGCCGTCGAGGACCGCGTCCGAGGTCGCGCGCTGATTCGGGACCCCCCCTCCCCGCTTTCTCGGCGGCTGCCGGAGGTGGCCGCGGCCCGAGGTGACCGCGCGAGGTGTCTTCTCGAGACAACCTAGAGGGCAGATAATCGAGGTTCGAGGACAGTGCCGCCTCTGCGCGGCGGCAGCGCGGCCCGCGAGCTTTCGGCGCGGCCCTCTCGGGCCCCGGGCGGAGGAGGAGGACGAGGAGGAGGAGGATGAAGAAGAAGAAGATGAGAGGAGGAGGAGGAGGAGGAGGAGGAGGAGGACGAGGAGGAGGGGGAGGAGGGGGAGGAGGAGGAGGAGGAGGAGGAGAGGAGGGAGGAGGAGGAGGAGGTGGAGGATATGGTGGTGAAGTATTTTTGGAGCACCTTGCAATCCCGAGTCGTCTTGCTGACGGCCTGTTTTTTTTTTTTTTTGTTATTTTATTTTTACGGTAATTAGGTTGGGATGGGCCCCAGGAACCCGTTTCCTCCAGGACTTCTCTTGTCTTCTTTTTTTTTTTTTGTTGCTTCTCTTTTTTTTACTTTTTTTTTTTTTTTTTTTTTTTTTTTGCTTTTTTTTTATTTTTTTTTTTTTTCTTTTATTTTTTTTTTTTTTTTTTTATTTTTTTTTTTTTTTTTTTTTTTTTTGTTTTTTTTTTTTTTTTTTTTTTTTTTGTTTTTTTTTTTTTTGCAGGGCCTATTCTTTTATTTCTTAAGGGCTTGGGGTCAGAAGCGTCCTCTGGACATGTCCCGTTTTTTAGTTTTATTGTTGTTTTTTGTGGTCTTTTTGTTTATATTTTTTTTTTTTTCTTTTTTGTCTTTTTTTTTTTTTGTTGGTCCTTTTTTTGTTTTGTGTTTTTTATTTTTTTGTCTTTTTTTTTTTATTTTTTGTTTTTTTTTCTGTTGATTTTCTTATTTTTTGGCGCACATATCGCAGGCAGAGCGGATTTCGTTCGGAAAACGATCGGATGGGCCCAGGTTGCCCTGGATAATTTCGTTCCGGACTTCGAGGTGAATTTCGTGCGTTTTTTTGGGGGGCCAGGAATGAAGATTAATAAACATCCACGCGAAACTCACTTCGTTTTTCGCTCGCCGTTTCGGGGTTTGCATTGACAGAAATCCACGCAACAATCCGCTGC